GGCACTGAAATCGCTTACCTCAATCCCATGAACGTTGGTTGGCGTTGCCATCAGCATGTAAGGATTTACCTTGTGTTCTGGTTTAAGCATTGATCAACCTCTCATCTACGAGGTCACCTTTTTTCGCCAGTCTGTTGAATTAATATAGGCATGCTTTGGCGGTATTTTAGACAGGCGGGGCGCCTGTTAAATTCGCTTAGCCCATCCGTTGTATGCGTGAAATAACTGGAAAACTGCAGAAGGGATTTTGAAGAAATTTCGCTAAAGTCGGACAGAAATGACGGGCACTTCATATGAAGATATACACGTATAACCCATTTCTGCATGCATCTCGAGCATAACCCGGCGAAGTATTTATCGGAGCGAAAAATGTTTCGAACACAAGCTGCTGAGAGAAATGAAACACACGTGCAATGTCCAGTTGACTTTTCCCATGAACCTGGCGGTTGCTAAGGTAATTAAACAACAAGAACGCGTACACCTACATTTGCGAACTTGCATTGTCAGTAATCAGTTGTGCCCTCCGAACACATCTGAAGAAGTCTCTTTGTCTCTATAATAATCAAACGAGGCTTTCTTTCTACCGAGTCTGTATGTCCACATACGTGTAAATATATATTTGATCAAAGTATAATTCATTTTGCTGCAGAAATGTTTTATTTTCGGTCATAATTGTTACTTCTATAAGAAAACAAACGCTTCAGTTTTTTCGGCATAAGAATAGAAAAAATAATTAGGAAAAATAAGTCCTGACTGAGTTCAGACAGCGTTGAAATTATATATATATATATATTGCTTTTTTATTCAGTGCTTTATTATAATATGACTTTGAAGCACATATTAAACAGTTTATGTATGTATGCGTTTAATATTCGTTTAGTATGTGCAGTAATAAGGAACCGTAGGCTTTACGGTTACTTTTCTTGACTGATTAGTCTTTCAGTATAGGCGTACAGTTTTAACTTCTCGCCAGTATGAGTAGATATCATACAAAGTGGATAGTTACATAGTATTTGTTTATTATAAGGAAAGAGTTGGCCGTAATGAGGATTATACAGATATTAGCATGTCTTCCTGCCGAACGCGGCCGTTAAGTGTATGCCGATACTAATACAGTCTTCTTTTTAGTATTTTTTTACTTGAATTTGAGTGACGCCACTTATAAGGCTTGCTAATTCGAGCTACGTCATTTTCCTTAATGTGTCTGTTGTTTCTAGTGCGACAGTTTCTCCTACCGATTGCTACTCCAGATATCAGCTCCATATATGGGCGTAGTTATTGAGGCGATTTTTTGATCTTCTATTGCAGGAATACTCACTAGTATGATATAAGCGTACTACACATTACATTATATTTCAATGTTGAGATTCTTATATGCCAGTTTCTGGCAACATCTCGCTGGTATGTTCATATCAGTCACTCAGGTTCCCACGATAGGATCTCATTGGCTGCATAATTTTGAAGCGATGTTAAGTCGATCTAGCTGAATTTATTTGGCCTCCGGTGTTTCTTATCCATTGCACTGTATAAATAGACGTTTGCAGGTTTCATCGTGTTATATATTCAGTAGGATGCCCTCGTAATGTGTAGGAAAATTTCCAGGGATTGTCAGAAATTGTTACAGAGACCTTAAACACTGTTTAAGGTTAACGGGGTATCGCATTCCCGAGACAACAGAAGGTTCACTGCTTAGCAACGGCCGCGGATATATAAGGGAGTTAATGCATTCGCCGAGTCAGCCTTGAGATAGTTGCCGTTGAAGTCGATGGTAGAAGTAATGAAGCATTGAAGCAGAGGCAGTAATTGTGATACCTGTGACTGTACGTGAGGACAATAAGTATTCTTTGAACCCAAGACCTAAGTGTAATTATTTGTCGCACTGCATAGGCAACACGCGACAATATTATTTGTGTTTACTTTTTCTCTACAGTTTTGGTCTACACATCTTACGCTCCGATAATTATTTACGTCTCTAGATACCCGCAGAAATGCATGTAGGTCGTCATGAAAAAGTCCAATTTTAATCGAAATTTGAATGTACAGGTAAACTGTAGCAGAACGCCCAAATGTTACATTTAATAAAAGCCCTTCAGTAGTTCTGTAGTTTCATGCGTACAGATGGACGGACTGATGAACGAACCTCAAACGAGCGTTCATAAAATACAAAAATGAGTGATCAGTTCTTAAGACATGCTTATTATATAAAACTACATGGATTAGAGACATTGAAGAGCTGACGGTCACCCAGGTGGCTTAGAAATTCTCCACCTTCTGTAGAAAAGGACTTCGTTGCCATAAAGATTAGTGTCTCCTGTGATGTAATGCGGTGCTGTCTGATATATTTTTACCGATGTTTCGATGGAATGCACTGTCTCGATATTCAGGAAACATCGGCAACGATGTACCAGACTACAAGGCAGCAATCTTCATAGTTCCACCGTGAGAACCTCAAATCTCTTTAATTTCCGCGGTCTCAAGAATCCGCCGCCGGACCTTATCTTCAGCCAGTTGATTTCAGTCCACATACGAGTATTCACACACTATTTCCTTAAGCTTCCCACGTAGGCCTACAACTCCTAGTTCTCATATGTGGTATCTTTTCTGCCGATATTTGAAACCAAAATGTTATATGCAGTTTTCATTTTTCCATATGTGGCCTTTCTACCTCATTCTCCTCGACTTGATCGCTCTTAGAATGTTTGGTGAAGAGCATAAATTGTGAAGTTCTTCATTATTTAGTTCGCTTCCCTCCCATTGTCTTATGTGCAGTTCTTCTCCGCATTCTATTCTCAAACACTCTCCTTCAACCTTTTGGAGGAACCTGCCTCGTCATCTTCAGTCACCACCGTGAAAGCGTCAGATCTCGCGCGCATATAAAAACAACAGCTTTGATATGTAGGATTTCAAATAGAAGACGGGGAAATAATCGATTCTGAAGTGAAATGTGTTTGTCGTCATTTTCTAAGCCAGCTGTTCTTAGTCTGCGTGACGCATCCCACTTTTGGGACTTGACAGTTGGCATGGGGGGGACAAGAGAGTTTGAAAATAAACCTTTCACTAATCATTAATATAGGTAATAGATAAATGCATATGAATGTTGGAAAAGAGAAGCTTTGGTTTTGCTGTTGAGGGACTACGACTTTTCCCAAAATAACATCTGAGACACAAGTTGCAAATCGTTGGGAATCACTGTTCCAAATAACATATTTACGCATGTATAGGCCGCGTGCGTGTATAGGCTGCAGCACAATTTTCAGACAGAAATTATAGAAAAAATAATTTTCTTGGAATATTATTTCAGGAGTAGAACACTCTGTATTACTAATTATGAATATATACTTTTTAAATGAAGTGTGATTTCGAATATAAGCCGCACCCCAGTTTTCCTCTTGAATTTTTGACAAAAAATGTGCGGCCTATACATGCGTAAATACGGTAATTAAGACGGGAATAAGGTTTCTGACCTGTCGGTTTGTGACGCGTTACATAAATGGCAGGTGCACTGATCTACCTTTCTTATAAGTTTTGAATTTTGAATCTGCCCTGTTTTGTGACGGATCGTTGTGCCTCCAGAAACTGGAACTGCTTTTCGAGTGAGCATATGTCAGAAGGGGAACCTGAGTAATTGTGTTACTATAGTGTCCCAGCTTTTCCTTAGACCTTCCAAGAATAATAATGATAATGATAATAATCGACCTGATTTAAAATTACATTGCCGAATATTCGATAGTGCGGGAAGTTCAGCTCTAGGCCTGTTATTTATACATACGCGATCCGTTTGAGTATGGATAAAAGTAAAGTGTTGTGAAATACACAGCACTGTTAACTTTTGTTGCTTAATAGTTGGCATATGAAGCCCAAAAATGTGCGAGATTTGACCCCCAAAATTTAGTCTCTTCGCAGACCCGTCATAGTTCATAACGGGATGGCAGTTCTTCCCACGTTTTTCGGCATCTCCGGTGTAATTTGCATGAAAGCCTCGGCGATCTTTGCCTGAAGGTTATCGCTGTCTGAGCTTCCTGCCCAACTCCCTTTGTGTCCATCGTTTCACACTAAGCATCCTAAGATCATCTACTCCATATCAGTTTTGGTCTTCCAATTCTGGAACTATCTGGTTTCAGGGGTGTGAGTTTTTTAATAGGATTATCGTGTAACATTCGGAAAACATGGTCTGGTCGTCGAAATCTTCCAGTTTTATGGTTTTAACAATATCCGGCTCAGAGAATAGTTCAGATAATTTATTTTTATATCTTATACGCCAGAATGCATTCTCACACACTGGGCGAAATATCCTTCGAAGCGCCTTCTTTTAAAAAACCCTGAAGCTCTCCTCGTTACTTCTAGTTAATGTCAAACTCACGCTCCTGTACACCAGTACGTGTCTCAGTATCATCCTCATCCTGCAAAAATCTTAACGCCGAGAATGTAAACGAGATAATATCGCTGTACATTATGCATTTGATAAAGCATCCCTAAGTAATCCGAGAAACTAATTATGTATCAGTGATATTCGGTTTTCTTGTAGTGAGAGTCTTTTAAAGCAGAGTATTTAATTTCGATATTTACATATGCTTAAAGGGGCTTCATTTTGTCTAACCTAGAGGCAAGTCCGTTAATGAAAATGCTTCAGCCAACGTTTTAAGGCGCGTCCACATTGCTCGTGCTCGTGTGTCAGAAGCTTACTGGTTTGCATACAAAGCCTTCGCATTTCTTCACAACAGATATCAACTCCAGATCCTGATTTTCCGGCAGCAGTAAGCTTTTGACGCACGAGCACGAGTAATGTGGACGCGCCTTTATATGCATCCAGTGCATGCCGCCTCCTGTTTAGACTTCTAGTAATCGTGTTTCCCGGGAGGAGTCCTTGTTCCTGCGCCGCCGATCGTCGCGACGCCACTCGGTAAAGCGTCGGAACCAACTATGCCGGCAAGGGGTTCTTTTTTATACATATATAACTCCTGCGGTGCGTGCGTTCGTGCCTCCGTGAGTGCGTCAGTCTGTACGAACTGGTCGGTGTTAAAATAGCGTTTATATTTGGGATCTCGCCTGTTGCTTGCGTAGTAGGTCTGCTGGCTGGTGCGTGGGTTGTTACACTTTGCAGGAAATTTAAACAGTGAAATGTGTGATATTTGCAGTAGCCGCTAAATGTGAGAACGTGCAAAGCGGCTAGACGTTCGTGCTTGCGTATGTACAGCCGTATCCCCGCAGGATTGGCGCCTCGTGTTGTCAGTGCTTCGTTGCAGTGGAATGTGTAGCGAACAAACTACATGGGTTAGTGACTGTTGTGACTTCGTACGAGGTGTATCAAGCTCTTCATTTTCCAGGCTGTGAGTGAGACTAGCAATATCCACTCCCACCAGCCGGTTCCTGCCAGTATTGATTCTGCCTCTACTTTTAGCGGGCGCCGTCACATTGCTAGGCTATTTGCCGGTGCTGAATGTGGGATATGAAGACAGCGTTGTGGCATATAACGTCATTTCTGACATGCTAGTGTATTCATGCATGGACTTTATTATCACGAGCTTGACTCCCCGACCCCCACACCACACACGTTTTTTTTCTAGCTTTCTATAAACCAATACGTATTCGGAAAGTGTTTTCAGAGGTTACTGTGGTTTAAGGAAAACCAGAATATGATGGTGTGCAGAGTAAAATGTATCTTATGATTTGCTTGATGAAGTTCTTCATTCCCTATAGTGACTGTATAGTTATTTGAAGGTTCCCTTCTTCTGGTATGTATCCTAGTACATGTAGGCCTAATCCAGAATCCATGTCAGTTTTGTGTTTTCAAATCAAAAGTAGTCTTAATTGGAGAGATTTGGTTATATTGTTTCCATCTGAAGTGGTCGCAAATACTTGTAAAATAAAATGATGACAGGTGGTCATGAGGGCCGTAAGTTTTTTTTTCCACAGATTATAGGCAGCACGTTTATCACATGTGTATGTGGAGCCTATAAGTTTGTTGCTTTCATCCATAACTCTATGCTGTATTTTTGTATTGAGTTCAGTATTAGACATTAAATAATTTAGGAAGAACATTAATAATTTTCCAAAAATTAAATAAACCCATTTGTATTGAAAACGTCAGAAATCATTCGGAATTTGTTTTGAATGTTATTCGTAGTAAACTCTGGGTCTGTCTTTTCTGTTTACTTGCCAACTTGAAGGTCGTGTGCGCATACAAAGAAAATAAGTATGGCTAGTGCAGACTGCTGACACACAATGGATTCTATTAGAAAGCCTTGGTAGAGGTCAAGTGTATTAAGAGCACGCATGTTACGTCACAGCATAGACAACTTGCATGTAAAATTACATCTGACACACTTGATCCTCGTGTTTCTTGTCATGATTTTGTACCTGTGTCCTTTAAATTTGGATTTCGAATTCTCCGATTTCATTTGCAGTAAGCGTAAATATGGAATATTTATTGCACAAGTTGTGTTCTTTGGCCTCATTACTGTACTGTATAGTGTTTGTTAGATATAGTAAAAACTTGCTGTTGAGTGCGAGATACTGCAAGTAATAGCTGTTAACATTCAGTATATAATAATGCATCTTTGGGAACATCTTAGTTGTGTGTTAATGGACGGGCGCAGACGTATTCTTTAGAAGAAAACGTGGCAAGAACCTGTATAAGGTTCAGCGGTTGATGAAAGGTATTTCCTTCTCATCTGCAGTGTAAGATCTGCCCATATTTAGAGAGACTGCTCTACCATAACAACAGCATCTTAATTTTTCACATTGTGCTGCAGAACGGTACAATCAGAGACGTGTAATAATTAACGTCAAGACACTGCTGAGCCGTAACGCTGGTTTGCAGGCGTATTCATCTGACCATGAATGTCCAACGTCGCCAGGTAATTCAATCAAAATTTATGCTGATGCTACTTATGAGAAGACTGGCGAGATTTGGGGAAGTGACACATAGTAAGAAGAACGAACCCTACGAACAATGCGAATGGAGTGTATCGTAGTGAGCGAAACAGCCTGCCCGATCTTAAGTGGTGTTAGTCATATTAACTGCAATTGCATAATCATCTCAGTGAGTGTGACCTCTTCTTAGCAGTCATGAAGAATGTAGACGATGATGACGACTTGGAGAGATTTAGAGAGACGATGTAGCGCACTCCGCGGAGGGGATTGTGGCCGTGTCTCTCCGTCTCTGCACATGTTGCAGCCATTCCCAGCCCTTACTTCCCGTGAACAGTTTTTGAAGGGTTGTATTGAACGATATTCAGAGACAAAAAGACGGGAGTTTAGGTGTTTCGTAATTCAGTTCAAGATAACAACGAAAGTCGCACTTTCGGCTGTGCCGATAATTAAGAGGAGATGAATTCGGAGTCCGAAACCTTTTTTGTAACAGATGCCACAGTGTTTATCCAATTCATGTTTTCCTTCCTGTTTGACCGATCTATAGTGCAGATTGCATCGATGTTCGCTCTCCCAAGGAACGGGTGATACTGCCGTTAGCAATGAAGAAACTGGAAGATTCTTTGGAGCTGGAAGTGTTCGAAATCAAAGATAGTAACGGTGGAATCGAAATGCCGGAATCTGCTGACCTGGGAGAAGACGATGATGATGACGAAATAGGTGGGGCATGTGCTCCTGGCCGTAAAAGACGTAAGAAGAACCGTCGGAAATGCAAGAGGAGCCCTTCTATGACACTTGCAGCGACACTAGCGGAACCGGAATGTGATGACATAGACGGAGATCCTCGGCAAGATTCGGAGGGACCTGTAGATGGCCGTGGTTCGAGAGGGACATCAGAGGGCACTCCTGGAAGTCGCAGGCCTACAAGTCTTCGCGAATCTCTGCTTTCTGTTCTGGGAAAGCTGGTCGTTTGGCGTCGGGGAGCTGGGAGGTATAGAAACAACGGCAGTGGAGGCGGTGCTCAGAATGGAGACTATCTTCTAGGCTTCATTTCTGCTGGTGAGTTAACTTAAGAATTTTCCTGTGTTTTTAATTCCTTGTTGGAATTTTGGAATCCTCATCTTTGACGATATGTACTAGTTGCAGAATATTAGCCTATTCTTTTAAACTCTTCGGTTCGCATGCGGTAAAACCGTTAACGTATTGTCGCGAGATGTTCCGTTCAAATCTTTGCTGCGACGCCGGCAATCGTGACTGACGTATTTCGCGTGTTCCTCAGTCCCTCCAAGCAGATGCCGGAATAGTGCCTCAAATTAGGTCATGACCGTTTCTGTTACGATTCTTTACAGTTTATTATTCATTAATCGCACTATCATTGAACGCTATATATCCTCAGCTACTGATAGCATCGTTAAATAAGCAATTGAAAATAATGTTCTAACCAACTCCGTGGTTGACGTTGGTCGAATTGTTAAAAGAGTGCGTCGAAAAGCATCTTCAAGTTTGGCGTTAGGGTACATGTTGCTTTATATACGCTCATTTCCTTTTTTGAAAATAAAAATGTTGTATCTGCTTGCTCTGATTTTTGTTTTCCCCTTCAAATCGATACTGCTTTTGCTAATTCAGGTTTTAGATCAGTTTCTGATTTCATGTTCAAGTAATCGACAATATCACATCTTTTCTTTCCATTTATGATTTTGCTAGTCGAACTATTTAATTTTTGTTTGGTAAAGAAAAAAGTCACCCTTTTCAACCCTATATAAACAACTGACATTGATTATATATTTCATGAGGAGTACTATGTTTTTATTCCTGTGTTTAAGCAAGTAGCATGGTGCTCAAAACAGAATTCTACTTTTTCCAAATTACTAAAAGGAAACTTAAAAACCCCTTCGCTAGTTAGAAGATTTGAATCATTATTACTTAACACTTCAGCTGTCAAACGAACAGGTTTTATGCAATGTGACTCATATGTCAGAATTTTATAATATTCCTCTTCCCACAAGTTAACGAGTTTCAGTTGTAGTAAAATTTTTATCGGATTTAGGATCTTCAAAAACCTTTGATCATTCTTTCTAATGTTTTCCAGCGTGTTTTTATGGCCCAAAATGACTTTTTTCTCGGGATTCGGAAGAACACACATTTTCCTAGGAATGCGGGAAGGAATTCCCGCGTGGAAACACAACTTCTGAGTGAATCAGGCTTTCTCAAAATCTGTGAATGACTGATGGTCTGTCTCATTGTACAAATGTTGCCATTTGTTCTTCAGTATCTGACGAATGCAAAAAATTGTGATAAGTAGTTGATCTTTTACGTCGAAACCCACACTGATGGTTGCCAATAATTTCGTTTGCATAAAAAGTAACCTTGATCGGTGGATATTGGATAGCATTTTGTATGAAGTTGATAACAGTGATGTTCCTCGATAAATACTACCGTACAGTCCGTTCTGTCGCCCTTCTTGTGAACTGGTACAGTAATAAAACTATTTCCACTGACCTGGCAATTCTTCCTTACTCCAAATAGAATTAATGAGTTGTGGATCTCAGACCGTAATGTTTTACCTCCTGCTTGAATCATTTCTGCATCAATTTGATCACTACCTGGCGAATTATATACTTTTTCAACTTAGCAATAGTAACTTGAAACTCAAAATGACTAGGATCAAGTACGAGGAGCGTCCCGTATATAATGTCTCCTATTTTTTAGTGAAAACTACAACAGATACAGCATAATAACGCAGTTAAATAGAGCAAGATTTCAGCTACTTACAGTTATTTTTCCATATAATCACCACCATTCATTATGCACTTTTGTCAGCGATGAACAAGAGCCTGTATGCCGCGCCCGTAAAAGTCTGCGCCAGCAGAGGCTAGCCACTTTCCTACAGCTACAATGACAGCATCGTTGTCTGGAAAATGTTGCCCACGTAGTCCATCTTTCATAGGCCCAAAGAGATGGAAGTCTGAAGGTGCTAAATCTAAGACTCTAAGGTGGATGTGGTAGGACAGTCCAGCCAAACTTTGCATTGTGCGCGGTGGTCCCCAAACTGGTATGGGGGTCTAGCGTTATCGTGTTGCAAGCAAAAGGTTGTCTGCTCCTCTTGCCTGACTCGAGAAATGCGGGCTTTCAGCTAAGTCAGCGTCGCCTTATAGCGTTCAGAATTAACAGCCTTGCCAGGCTCCAGGAAATCCAACAAAATCACACCCCGCCTATCCCAAAAGACCGTGCACATCACTTTCCCTGCCGTAGGCTGTGTCTTGAACTTCTTTTTTCTTGGGGAATCCGGATGTCGCCACTCCATGGGCTATCTTTTGGATTCCGGCTCGTAGTGGTGACACCACGTCTCATCTCCGGTGACGATGCTGTCTAGACTCTTGTCACCTTCAGCCTCAAACCGGTGCAGCAGGTGCTGACAGACTTCCATTCGATGAGTTTTGTGGTCCTGTGTACTCGTAAGCATCCGCGGGAACCACCTGGAACAAACTTTGCGATAATCCAGCTTCCCCAACATCGTTTCCAATGCATTACAGCTGATATTAAGCCGTGCACACAGTTCCCTGGTCGTTATCTGCCGATCTGTACGGATGAGCTGATGGAGGCGCTGTTCATTGTGAGGAGTGGCAGCTGAGCAAGGACGCCCAGGGCGTGGCTTGTCGTGCACTTCACTTTTGTCACTGCTGAAACGCACTACCCACCGCCTCACTGTGCTGACATCCACTGTATCGTCTTCGTACACCTTTAGCAAGCGTCGATGGATGTCTGTGGGTGCAATTTTTTCGGCAGTGAGAAATTCAATAACACATCTCTGTTTCGTACGCGCTTCTATGTCAGACGCCATTTTGGTAGACTGCTCTGCTGTCGCTATCTGTCGCACGACAACCAAACTAAGAGTACATTGGCGGGAAGGTTCAACCTTTACTACAACACCACCAACATCCAGCTCAGACGTTACATATTAACACAAAAAAACAGGAGGCATTATATACGGAACGCCCTTCGTACTAACGGTTCAACTGTATGTGTTTCTATCAGCCTAAAATCACTGACCCTGTATATATTCTATAGTTGAGAGAAGTAATTATTCCACCTATACAAAATGTTGTTGGAAACTGCAAGGAGATAACCATACTCATCCTTTACTAAGTATGGTCTCGGTTGGTTACCAATCTTCAGTCCATTTATTCCCCTGTCCAGGTTTCTAATGCTGTTCTTGCTGTGAGTTGCAAGCTCGTCAGTTTTGTATTTCCGATATTTTCTCTTTCTATTCCTGATATTCCTGCCGGCTTCACGTCTTATGTTGTGTATATCATACCCATTTATTTGTCTTGGATCATGTAACAATTGCAGTTTGGCTTCTTTCCTTTGTTCTAATAGTTTTGAACATCATTCATCAAACCATGGCTTATGCTTTTCAGCTCGTAACAACTTATGCTCTCCTTAGCCGAAATTGTGATATTCTGTTTTAATAGTTTACCAAGATTTATTAATAGCCACATCATCGTCTTAGTTTTTCAAAGGCACGAACCTACTTCAGATTTCAACCCGGTACCCTTCCTTGGCCTCTGCCTCGTTTAGTTTTGTGAGATTGAACTCCATACGAAATTTTTGTGCTGTTTGCTTTCTCACTGCCAGTCTTTTGCCTCCACCAGTTAGTGGTCAGTATCGCTGTTCCCGCCCATGAATGATCGGATATTTAGTACACTTGTAGTTTTCTCTCTGTCAGAGTGTGACCAATGTGATTGTGTCTTTCCATCAGGAGATGTCCAACTAAATTTATGAATGTTACGATGTGGGAACATTATATTAGTGACAAAGAGATTTTTAGATACGGTGAAGTTTAATACTCTTAACTCCATTATCATTGCTAATTTCGTGTATGCTCTCGCTTCCAATTCTGTTTTTGAAAATATTTTCCCTATTTACTTTGGCATCGAAATCTTCTAACAAAATTTCGTGTGGTATTTAGGGAATTTGTCGAAAACAGGTTCTAGTTCCTCGTAGAAAGTGGCCTTCGTACCACCAGTTTTATCATCTGCTGGAGCGTGAACGTTCAGAAAATAATATCACTCAACGACCTCTTAGTATTTATGTACGATATCATGTCACTAACAAACTCCACCCTCATAACTGCTGGTATGATTCTTTTGCGTTCCAAAAGAAAACTGCCTAATTCATGATTCTCGTTTCCCTTTCCATGGAGCAATGTACATGTAAATTTGCCTGCTGGTTTGGTGCCACCCCTGTCCCATCCGACCTGCGCTCCCTACAAAACTAACTTATAGTTAGATATTTCTTTTTGCAATTGCCATGAGCAAACCTTTCCTACACACGTTTTACATTGCGCATACCAAATTTCGTCCAATTCTCTTAGGGTAGTTCGTTTATTCAAAGAAGCGGTCCAAGTCATAGGGCCTTTGTAACATTTCGTAACAAGCTTATTTTTTACGGCGAGGCGTTGTTAGACTTACACCCAACCCCCAAGCTGGAGGACCACCCTTTTAGGCTGTCCACGGCTGCTTATTCACAGCTACCTTGCATATTTGGAGGCCGTCTCCTTTATCCGTTGAGGACGCACCATGCCGTAGTGACAAAGAACCAACTTCCGAAAAAAAAAAGTGTTTTATTACTTCAAAATATCTAGACGGTAACTTATGTGTCTTAAAGGTATGGTGGCCATAAATTATTTGCTGCATTTGAAACTTACATAAATCACAAAGTTTTAGAAGTGTCGGGAAACGGACTGAACTGTCCGAAAGAACCCACTAAAAAAAGTTCGCGTTAATTGGCTGCCCTCCCGATTTTGACGCTGTTGAAACGTACACAGCTGACAAACGCAAAATGGCGGTTTCTTCCCAGCAAAAGGCAATGTCTACGTAGTGGTGCTGGAAGGCAAAAGCAGTTATTCAAATGCAGACACAACTGTAGAATTTTGGGTTCAGAATCCGCACATGCAGTTCGCGAAGACGAACGGAATAGCCCCAAGCTGAATGCATGATGCGCCCTTTCTCGTCGTGAGCTGACTGGACCCTTCTCCTTTCAACAGAAGACCGTGAACA